GGTGCTGGTTGGTGGATCTTGGTCGCGGACTGTGGCACGAGTGGGGGGAAAAGCAGACCACATATGAAGGATCTGTTGCACAGTCTGGCGGTGGCTGGCCGGCAACTGGGCCTGGAACTGGTGCCTGAGCGCACTGCTTCGCTGAAAATCCTCAGCCACTCTGGGCTGATTGGCGTCGGTGTGACTCGCATAACTCTCACGGAACCCTGTGTGAGACCGGTGTGGGACCTTGTGCGGTTACAGCGGTCAATGCATGTGCGCAGGTGAGGGGCCACGGCGGGTCAGGGCCGGTGTGTTTTAGCACGTGCAATCGAGCGGCCGTGACGCTGGCGTCAAGTGATGGATGTGGACGGAGGATGGTCCCGGAAACACAGGGAATTATGTGATCAAGCGACTCCACTGCAGGAGAGACCGTGTTAGCGTTGCAACAACGAATGACAAGCGGGCTACCACGTGGGAACAGGGCGCGGAGTACGTATACAGCTGTGGAATGCGATAGTAGGATGGAAGAGCCATGTGAATGCAACGCGTGACTGCGATACGGATGAACTACGGGAGAGGAGCTGAACGTCGCGAGCGTGAACGACGCGTACATGCGAATACGGGATAACTACGGGAGAGGAAGCGTAAACGACGCGTACATGCGAATACGGGATAACTACGGGAGAGGATGGGTCAACAACGCATCAGGCGAATAGGATAGTCCTACAATAGGTACAGTGATCTGGATGATCAGTAGCTGGGGAATCTGTAGGATTAGTCTGCATTTGAATACGCACACATTTATAAAGACTCAGCAGATTCTACGATTTTACCTTTCAATAAAAAAACCCATCTGATGTGCGTGAGGCAATCAAATTGCAACACCATATGGACGATCTAGCACACACCGGTGCAGACACGCACCGGCGAACAGAAAATATACCTTTCTTTTTTACGCAACACTGCACACAAGCTGGCATATGCACGTACGCCCGCCAGCGCTTACATAGGCCTACACCACTCACATACACATACATACACACGGACGCACGTACACAAGCACGCACGGACGTACACAAATATAAATGGAGGCTCACCACATTGCTTAGTGAATGCAGAACACTTTTCCTGTATGCACGGCGCACACTGAGTCTGGATGAATTCATCATGCATCTCTTTTAATGCTGCCTTTGCCTAAAGTGGAAGAAGGTGAGAAAGTGGTGAGAGGGGCTTAAAAATATCAATGCTGGCATCGTGGTTCAGCAAGAAGAAGGTAAAATTTATAACACGGTCAGGTGAATGTTTCGAATGCTTCTTGTACTATATCGCCATACAGCAAGGAAAAAGTACATATCAACGCACATTATAGTGTCACATCTAAACAATCCAAACGATACTAGCGATACCGTCGTTGGGTTCTACCCGAATTTATGGATAGAAATAGAAGAATCACACCGTTTGTACTGTATTCATATTTATGAGCGAGAATATGTCAAGTTGTAATATATTACTGTATGTATTCCTATAATTGAGATATAACGTCATGAGTATCATGAGTCATGTACATTGGTAAAGTACATTTATTTTTATACACATATTATGAAGTATATTTTGTTCTTTTACTCGTCTCCGGCGGGTACTAGGACTACATGATCGGATGCACCTTATTGCTTCTCAATGTAAGCATGCACGCGAGCTTTCCTGTTAGTGTAGGCTACTCACTTATATTACTGGACATCAGATTTGTGCATGGCCAGGTTGCGCTATCGTGGAAGAAATCTAACGCGAACTTATGTTGTAGTGTGTGTACGTGTATAGGTAGGGGCACACGAGCGATTTTTATCGCCCGATCGCCGCGAATTTTAAAATCGCTCGAAAAATTCGCCCGTGTGCCCGTTCACGTCGACGCCGATTTTAATCGCCC